GAATTATTTGTAGGAAATACATTTGGAAAAAAATGATCTAAACCACATCTTAAAATGCAGTTTGTATGAGGATAAAAGTCCAAAACACATGATATTTACTGAAACATGTGTTATTATAAAGATGTGTAAACTCGGTCCAAGACAGAAGGACATGTATTCAGGCAAGCGTGAGGTTAAGCGAGACGGGAACACAGGCCAGAGGGCAGCGAGAGCTCCTTCCAGGCTGATTTATGACCGGAAAGCGAGAGGACGCAGGATGCTTCGCCCGCCACGATCACAGCTCCTGTCCTCCTGTTGGAATGCTTCCATCCGGCAGGTTCAAACTGACAGATTCATACTGCCCCCCCCCTCCTCCTCCTCTTTTAACCCACGCCCCTCATCGGGGTTGCTCACAACTACATTTATCATGTTCTCACGTAATAAATCACAGCGGCCAAAGTGGGCCTGATAAGTGCTTGCGTGGCTGTCGAATGACCGCTCCCCTAATCTCCCTGCCAGACAGCCCCCACAGGCCCCCGGACCACCATGAGTGTCCGCGGGATCCCTTAACAGGGCACCACCGGGATACATGTGCCTGGCTGCTAATTCAGTTGTTAACATAAACCACTCTCATGCATACTGACAGCCACCTTCAACGCTGAGTTATGAACAGGGAGCCATGAAGCCTTACCTTATGTATTTGTGTTGCCCACAATCCTCCTTACTAATTTCTAACCATGGGTGAGGATAGAGGAAGAACATGCAAATTGCTCTTCCGCCAACGACTGTATCACCCATAACATCATGAAGTGGAGCGCGAGGACCAGTATTGCCGCTGTTGCTGTTGATCGTTTGGCTGTTGTTGTGCCCATTGTTCTTTTGTCCCTCCCCCAGCTGCTCACCGTCTCGATCCTGTTTCTCTCAGTCTACTCTCCCTCTACTCTGTCTCTCCGGGCATTCACACTGCTATTCAGGTGTATTGGCAAATTAGGGTCTTCAATTAATCTTATATGCATGTTGGGTATGTGGGAGGAAGCCCAACTACCAAAAAAAAAAAAACTACGAGGGCATGGGATAACATGTGAACGCCACAACTTGAACCCCAATCCTCAGAACTGCCAGCAAAATTTGAAGGTAGCCTCCCCGGCCTCACGTCTCTGACCAAATCCATTCCCCTCATGACGATGATTGGGAACCATTATTAAACTCATGAATTCATTACATTCTGGGTTTTCATTGATCAAAACTGTCACATGTAGAAATAACGAAAATGCAACTTTTCATCCAAAAGCCTCAAAACTAAAATGGCTGCCCAAAACAACACTAGGTTCATGTTGAGGTAACCTGACGTGACACCATATTTATTTATGTCTGTCTGCGCACGTTTTATAGCGACGCATTTCATGCCCCTCCACCCTCCGCTTTACTTGTGCGGCCTGGTGTGTACAAATGGGCTTAGAGTGTATCGTGTGGGTTAATCAAACACGCGCCGCACATAAAAGCAGCCAGAGGCAGTGTGAGTATTTACAGTAATAAAAGTTAACAGCGGTCAAACCCTCTGGGATCACATTACTTGTCAGACATGTGGCTGGAGCTCGCTCCCTTGTTGCTTTATGGACGTCGGCCTTAAGGTAAAAGCGGGCTGCTAACGCCGTGTTGTTCCACACGAAAGATAGGAAAACAAACTTTTTGTAGCTTGCCCCCCCGCCCCTGCCTCCCTCCTCTGCCGATGTCACACCCTTAACCTCCAGATGATAAATCTCTCCCACAGAAGCCCCTGAGTGGGAAGACCCCCAGTGCTGGAAGAGCCACGTGTGTCCTCTGTGTCACATCCTGTTTGCGTAGTCAGGGCTTCAACTTGTGATCTGTGCGCTCGTAATTCAACGTGAGACAACACTTCCACGCTCCTTATTTATTTACTTATTTTTACTTTGGAGAGGTGCACTTCTCTGCTATCTCAACTTTTTCCTTAGTCCCACCGCCACCTCCCGCCCTCCCAACCCCAAAGGAGACTTTTTTTGTGAAGAAAAACAAGTCATTTCTTCATTCAGTCAAGAGCAAATAAATAAATAAATAAATATAAAACGATCCCAATTTGAACAAGCACCAAATTACAGAAATGCAAAATAAGATCTTGGGGTCTCAGAAAAAGGAAAAAAAATGCACGGTTGTATACGGTTGTAGAGACTGACGAAACAATGAAGCCACGAATTGATCTTTGTGAATTTGGTTAATTCCCACCTCCCGATGTGAACATTTGACCTATGGGGGCCTAGTAATCATATTTTCTTCAGTGGATGTTCCCATTCAAAGCAATTAGAAGTCTTGCAATTGCAATTGACAGAATATGTACATTTTAGCATTTTATTGCATGAAAAAAATGTTGGATCTAGTACACCTGTGCCTGAATTCTGGCTCCCGTAGATTGGCTGGTGCCCATGTGGCCCACAGATGTGAACTATCAACCGATTACCAATACTCTTAGTCCCAACTCCTCATATATCTTCCTACTCTCTCATCAATACCGACGAATCGATCAGGAAACGATTACATTCCACGGTCTCCACTTGGCTTAATCTTAATCTTCTCACGGATAAAGTTAGTCTCTTTACTGTTCTTCCATCGATACCAGTGGATCGATGCTGCAGGTATTGTACTCCGCAGTCTCCACGATGATGCAATACATTGATGCAATTAAGGACATTTAGTTGAATTCTTGCAGTGCCTTGTTAAGATTCGAACCTGCGAGCCCCAACCCCTCTTTATCTTTATAGACTGAGTTTTGACCCCATTACAGAAGCATGCGGATGCGTATTTACCACTGGTGGGAAATATACAGACACAAGCGGGTGCGAGAGAGAGAGAGTCCTGATTGATCAACTCCCTATCTGGCTATTTACGATCTGGCTGCGGCGCAGGCAAGCCTCTGCCAGACAGAAAAGCAATTAATCTGCAAACGAGCTGGGGAACAGCCGGCCTGTGCATTGGAGCCTCCTACCAGCACGGCTCTGGAGGAGAGATAAGGCTGCAGACGGCTATTTATTGTACATTTTAATTAAGTGCTTGTTAACGCTAGTTATCTTAACAGTCACAAAATTACGGTTGTAATGCGTTTAGTTGGAGGAAAAATAGAGCCGAGGTTGGAGCGTTTCTATGGAAGCTGGCACGGCTCGGCCTTCCCCATCGCGAGTGAATTCAGAGGAGGCGGATGCCACAATGATCCAAGCTCAGGTGCTAATGGTTATTTAATATGGCCATCAGTGGTCCTGAGTCCCCCAGCATACGGCGTTCACACAATAGCCTCCAAAACCCTCTTTAACACTTATTTGAGATGACAGGAAAAATGAAACCGTTTGTGCTTTCAATGGAAAAGCAATCATTGCTACATTATACTCTGCTTGCCCTATCATGCTAATGCCAGGTAAAAATGTCACCAAATGTATTTAAAGGGCCTGATGGAGTGTTGCCGTTTGATTCCTGCTGCCTGCCTGATTAATAGAAGAAGGTGAAAAAAAAAACAACCTTCAATTTGTATGTAAATGCAACCTGGGCTCTCATATCATCTGCACACCTGCACCTGGAGGAAAATAATATACTCAAGTTTAATGCGGCAATTATGAGCGTTTATGGGAATTGTGGGAAGGAGGGGAGGGGAAGCGTCACCGCGCTGTTGGAGTGACCTCATGCACAAACAAGACCCGCAAACATTCTTAACTTGGGCCATTAGTGGGGATAAATTGAAACCGCGATTGTTTGTGTGTTTTCGGTACTATAAGACAACACTTTAGAACAACACTTTAGAACAGCAGCTGCCACATTAGTGGACTTCTGTGGGTGTTGAAATTCTACACCTACATATCTCTCTCTCTCTCTCTCTCTCTCTCTCTCTCTCTCTCTGAGAGAGAGAGAGAGAGAGAGAGACAGAGGGCAAACATCAACGCCCTCAATTTCACACAGAGAGCCAGCAAGGGTAGCTGTCACCAAGCTGTTTCACCAGTTAGCAAATAGCAACAAGTCACTCCTTCTTGTTGAACCCCCACCACTAAACAAGCTGTAAGGAGCATCATCACCAACTCGTGTGACAGACGCTGACGTAGTTTGTCCAAAAATGTTGGCTAGATGTCATTTCTTTTTTTGCCACCTCCTCAGTCCTCAGTTATCATTTCTCTCTTCATGTTAGCAGCTCCATGTGGCCCTATCGACAAATCATGAGAACACAGAAGAGACGGTCGCTCTTCAGTGTCGTCATTTCACAGGCACATCATTTAAAAGTTTTCTCATGTCAACGACATGTGTCACAAAATCCATCATCTACAGAGTTGAATTATTATGGCAAGCACACATGTCCACTTTATGTTTTCCCGTGAAATGAAAATAAACTCAAATATAAACAACACTACTTCACAACTCCAAATGTAAGTGTGAATGCCCAGCACCTTACTACCTACCCCAACACAGCTATCGCTAAAAGCGTCGCACGGCATATTTGTATTGAGCCAGTGTAATTAAGTAATTTCAGTATCAAATACTGCTCAAAATGAAAAAAGACTGAGCAGAATACGCAGAGCAAAATTGAAATAATCAAAGAATGACAAACTAATAGATTAACAGTGCACATTTAAGACCAGTGAGGTGTCCCTGAACATGGTGGCGTGATAGCAATTATTGGCTTGAAGCACCAAAGAGCCAGAAGCTAGCGTTGTAATTTAGAGAAAAAAAAATGGTACTTCACTCAGAAGTGTGACAAAATGGAGAGAACAAACAATGCTGCTGAATTCACTACAACATGGAAACACTGTCATAGTTGTAGACTATGTGGTGAATTAAACCCAACCTGTAAATGTCGGTTCACATTTCTAAAACGGGACTTCAAATTAACAAATTGTACTCAACAAACGACACTGCGATGCAACGGAATCAAGAGGATGAATAATATGAGGAGCGTGATGACACGTTATCAGACCCAACGAGCAAAAAAAACAAACAAACAAAAAAAAAAAACCTGCACATATAGGACCCGATTATTTAATCCTACCTGACACAGGTGACAGGACCATGTTCCCCGACCTCTGGACCTCATCAAATTTACTGAAGATGACATTCAACCTGGAAAAAGGTGATGTGCATGTTAACTGGCCAACGTGTGAATCCATTGAGTGAATCATTGGTATTTGGTGTACGTAGCTCAGCGCACCTTGACTGAGGTAGGCCCTTCTTTCCAAGGTCAATCCGTACTCGCTCACCGACGTGGCGGTAGATCTCAACCAGACAGCTCATGGCACCATCACGCACCTTCCAAATAATTTCACAAATTATTATTCATAAAATGATGTCACACTGCTTCGTTGATTAGAGCAATGGGAAGCTTCTGCTAATCTGCAATAAACTTCCCCTGTTGCACAGAAAAACTCTTTAGGAAAGGAAACACAAACAGAGTAGCCATACAGGGCAGGTTTATACAATAATAAGAAGAAGAATCTGCAATAAAATAACTTTTTTAGAGGGCAATAAATCACAGATGTAATGCTTTCAGAGGAACGGAATGTGGTACCTGACTTGTGGGATCTCCCAGGAGGTTACAAATGTGAGGAACTATTTTGCTGAGAGTCAGGCTCTGCGAGCCAAACCTGAAAATGACCGTATACATTTGATACATGAGAAATGAAAGGCATTGACCTTTTTTTATTTATTTATTTTTTTATTTTAAATGTTGACTCAGGCACCCAAGTAATCCAACGGTAAAAGATATAATAATAGAAATACAGTCAAACCTCGGTTTTCGAACGTCTCGGTTCTCGGCCAATTCGGTTTTCGACCAAAACTTTCGAGTTTTCCACCGGCCCCCCCCCCCCCCCCCACCCCAAAGGGAGCTTTTTTTTTTTTTTTTTTTTATGTGAAGAAAAACAAGTCATTTCTTCATTCAGTCAAGAGCAAATAAATAAATAAATAAATATAAAACGATCCCAATTTGAACAAGCACCAAATTACAGAAATGCAAAATAAGATCTTGGGGTCTCAGAAAAAGGAAAAAAAATGCACGGTTGTATACGGTTGTAGAGACTGACGAAACAATGAAGCCACGAATTGATCTTTGTGAATTTGGTTAATTCCCACCTCCCGATGTTTTTTTTTTTTTTTTTTTTTTTTTTATGTGAAGAAAAACAAGTCATTTCTTCATTCAGTCAAGAGCAAATAAATAAATAAATAAATATAAAACGATCCCAATTTGAACAAGCACCAAATTACAGAAATGCAAAATAAGATCTTGGGGTCTCAGAAAAAGGAAAAAAAATGCACGGTTGTATACGGTTGTAGAGACTGACGAAACAATGAAGCCACGAATTGATCTTTGTGAATTTGGTTAATTCCCACCTCCCGATGTGAACATTTGACCTATGGGGGCCTAGTAATCATATTTTCTTCAGTGGATGTTCCCATTCAAAGCAATTAGAAGTCTTGCAATTGCAATTGACAGAATATGTACATTTTAGCATTTTATTGCATGAAAAAAATGTTGGATCTAGTACACCTGTGCCTGAATTCTGGCTCCCGTAGATTGGCTGGTGCCCATGTGGCCCACAGATGTGAACTATCAACCAATTACCAATACTCTTAGTCCCAACTCCTCATATATCTTCCTACTCTCTCATCAATACCGACGAATCGATCAGGAAACGATTACATTCCACGGTCTCCACTTGGCTTAATCTTAATCTTCTCACGGATAAAGTTAGTCTCTTTACTGTTCTTCCATCGATACCAGTGGATCGATGCTGCAGGTATTGTACTCCGCAGTCTCCACGATGATGCAATACATTGATGCAATTAAGGACATTTAGTTGAATTCTTGCAGTGCCTTGTTAAGATTCGAACCTGCGAGCCCCAACCCCTCTTTATCTTTATAGACTGAGTTTTGACCCCATTACAGAAGCATGCGGATGCGTATTTACCACTGGTGGGAAATATACAGACACAAGCGGGTGCGAGAGAGAGAGAGTCCTGATTGATCAACTCCCTATCTGGCTATTTACGATCTGGCTGCGGCGCAGGCAAGCCTCTGCCAGACAGAAAAGCAATTAATCTGCAAACGAGCTGGGGAACAGCCGGCCTGTGCATTGGAGCCTCCTACCAGCACGGCTCTGGAGGAGAGATAAGGCTGCAGACGGCTATTTATTGTACATTTTAATTAAGTGCTTGTTAACGCTAGTTATCTTAACAGTCACAAAATTACGGTTGTAATGCGTTTAGTTGGAGGAAAAATAGAGCCGAGGTTGGAGCGTTTCTATGGAAGCTGGCACGGCTCGGCCTTCCCCATCGCGAGTGAATTCAGAGGAGGCGGATGCCACAATGATCCAAGCTCAGGTGCTAATGGTTATTTAATATGGCCATCAGTGGTCCTGAGTCCCCCAGCATACGGCGTTCACACAATAGCCTCCAAAACCCTCTTTAACACTTATTTGAGATGACAGGAAAAATGAAACCGTTTGTGCTTTCAATGGAAAAGCAATCATTGCTACATTATACTCTGCTTGCCCTATCATGCTAATGCCAGGTAAAAATGTCACCAAATGTATTTAAAGGGCCTGATGGAGTGTTGCCGTTTGATTCCTGCTGCCTGCCTGATTAATAGAAGAAGGTGAAAAAAAAAACAACCTTCAATTTGTATGTAAATGCAACCTGGGCTCTCATATCATCTGCACACCTGCACCTGGAGGAAAATAATATACTCAAGTTTAATGCGGCAATTATGAGCGTTTATGGGAATTGTGGGAAGGAGGGGAGGGGAAGCGTCACCGCGCTGTTGGAGTGACCTCATGCACAAACAAGACCCGCAAACATTCTTAACTTGGGCCATTAGTGGGGATAAATTGAAACCGCGATTGTTTGTGTGTTTTCGGTACTATAAGACAACACTTTAGAACAACACTTTAGAACAGCAGCTGCCACATTAGTGGACTTCTGTGGGTGTTGAAATTCTACACCTACATATCTCTCTCTCTCTCTCTCTCTCTCTCTCTCTCTCTCTCTGAGAGAGAGAGAGAGAGAGAGAGATATATAGATATATATCTATAGAGATGTATATATATATATATATCTCCATAGATATATATATAGAGATATATATATAGATAGATAGATACAGTATATATATCTAGATATCTAGATCTAGATCTAGATAGATAGATATCCATCCATTTTCTGATCCGCTTATCATCAGCCTTGTTTTTGGATCAAAAGATCTATTAATAGTAGTCACTGTTTCGAGGTCCCCCCCATGACATGGAAACACAGACAGTTCTCAGGACTGTTGAAAGCTGAGACATTATTACCACTGTCACATACAAAATACACATATTAAAACTTTTACAGTTTAACAGTTTCCAGATTCCCACCATTACCACCCAAGAAACCAAAGCAAACAAACAAAAAAAGAAAGATTTCAGTAGACATTGGTCAAATGTGAGCCATGCTGTACAGAAACTTTTGTACCACCTGGTCCAAAAGAATGACACTTCAAGATTTTGATTTGTGTACATTTTGGGACACTTTACGAAAAGTCCTCATTTCAGAGAGAAAGATTGACATTTAAGGTATTTTTATTGCTGTTACATGTCAAAGAGGGTCAAATGTATAAGTGAAGCCATGCGTCAAAATCCCACTTCAGTTGGAACACCTCACAAAAGGAATCCAAGCGTTAGACCTTAAAAACAGGGTGTATAAAAAGGTGTAGGCACACTTTCAAGTGAATCAGAGTTGAATACAAGTTCTTAACCGGGTTTACGAGGCCCGGCTTTTAAAGCACCGCGGTGTCATAGATGGCATACGATAAAGAACACAAACGAGGGCATACGACGGAGTGACAAAGGCCCTCGCGGAGCAGTCAGAAGAAAGTGACGACAGCGATTTGGACGAGCATCAAAAACTTTTTTTTTTGCGGCGGGTATTATGCGGCCAAGTGGACTGGAGCGCCGCGGTAAGATAATCGTTATCTGTCGAGATGATCTACTCGGGCATGATAATAGCGCTACAGCGGTGTGACTGCGATAGAGCTCAAGATGTGGGCTCTCCTCTCTAAAGGAGCAGAAGAAGAAAAAAATCCCCAGCTGCCTAATGGCTTTAGACAGCAGCCATTCGGCGCCGCTAATCTTCCGTCTCTCTGAAAATAACTTTTTGTGCCGTCTGAAGATTGGATTTTACAGATCACAACGGCACGGTAATGCATTCACTCAGCTGTACTTCTCATGAGAAACGTATCGTGATCTCTAATAATATTCTGTATATGGCGGCAGCCAAGCGCTGCCTTTAAATGCGACGGCATATTAATATTAATATTTATGGACTGTGGAGGAACGGCAGGCGTCTGAGGGGTACGGGCAGAACAAACTTCCATTAATTCCTATGGAGGGGAAAGTCCAAATTAATTCCTATTCACATTTTAATGCCTTTATGCTAATGCGGGCACCCGAGGAAAGGGACGGCCTCACAGGAGGAAGAGGGTTAAAGTTGACTGCCGCACCTGAAAAAATGTCATTCAGCACTGGGAAATATGGCCGTACGGGAAGGTTACGATTAACTGAACACACACACGGTCGGTTACAATTTGCATTTCTATCCGTGAGCTCAAGAACTTGACCGGATTGGTCAGGAACGATCACTGTTTATATCAAATATTAACACCCTTCCCACATAGAATGATGAGAATACGGACGTGAAATTGCACAAATCCATTTTGTCGACCATTTGGCTGATGCATTGGGTGCTTGCCAAAGAACGAGTTGACCAACCAGCAACATTTCCAGCAAAGGAGGAGCTTGGCATCGAAAACGGATAAAAACAGTCGCTTTCGTCTGAAAATGAAAATTGTTGCAAACAGCCTCAGAATTTCGCATTTCCTCTGCATGGTTTGGCTCGGCTTGCCTCTTTTTGGGGTGGCCGGTTTTCCCTGTCAACTCGAACTCACAGTGTGAGAAACTGTGAAAACCATGATGCATTCGACACATCAGCCGTAACAAGAAACCCGAGCAAAACCCATACTGTCGTGGACAACACGAGTGGGTTTCCTGTGTTTATTTCCCAGCATGTGGCTGCAAATGTGCAAATTTTATTTCAATGCGCATAAATGTGGGCATGGCCTATCTCTGTGCCGAGGCAGGTTAGACCCGATGTTGGTAATTTTGCAGACAAGCACAGGCCAGCAGTTCTGCGAGAGGGTGTGCTGTGGGAGTGGTCACAGCCTACCTCAATCATGGCCCGTCATAGCAGTTCCTTTCATTCCCTTTCAACATGATTGTAGGATGATTTTAAAAATATATTACAATGATTGAAACGCCAGGTGAGATGCACCCTGATCGCAGTTTTACGAATGAAATACATCTGACATCAATCAAATATTTGTGGTGCTCAGAATCAGCCTGCGCGCTAATCAATTTCACCAAAATCACATGAGACCAGTATTTCGACGTGGTCTGGGCAGACAGTTTCCACCTTTACTTGCTGCCACCAAATTGTCACCAAATTGCCCAGCTTAGAAGAAACTAATCTGTCAAATTGGCAAACATGCAAACAAGGGATTGTTGAATTACAAATGTCAACTTCATTGATTATTATTTATTTAAATACATGTTAGCTTCAGTGAAGACTGAATCATCTTTCAAAATAATTTCCCTTTCGGTTCGTGGAAGACTCTAAATTGTCTTTGATGTTGATCCTAAATGGACAGCT